TATATATATATATATATATATATATATATATATATATATATATATATATATATATATATAAAAGAGTCTTTGTAATAACCACCAAATGTGTTTGGCCTACTAGTAAAGGTTCACTTATATTTCACACCGTCATGAGCTTGATTCACGTTGTAAATGAATCCGTCACAGAGTCGTGCTACATTACCTAGCTGCGGCATATCTCGTGTGAAGAGACTTCCAGACTGCTAGCATTACGGTGGGTATTTGGCAAAACTAGAAAGGTTGGTGGTAGCCCCCGCTCTTTGGGTCCCTAAATTTTCCCAAAAATCAAGGGAAATTTTGTAAAAAAATATTTTTAAGTCTATATTAGTTAAAATTTATTGTCCAACCCCCAGTGTAAAATTTCCCTTAAAATCAAGGGGAAAAATTGTAAAAAGATACTCTAATTCTATATTAGTTAAAATTTATTGTCTAGCCCCCCAATGTGAAATTCTCGGGTCGTAATTATTGATGGGAATGCGGTGATGGGCTCTCAAATACCACGAGTAGTACATAGTAGCTATGGTTTAATTCGGTGATTCTGTAACTGGTATGGGAATGCCCAATGAGGTACGCTAGCATTGGTCGACCCTTTCCATTCATTTACCTTATGAAAGAAAGAAAAATCTATGTAATAACCACCGAAGAAAAAAAAACATGAAACGACAAAGTCTTTGTCGACCGAAGCTATGTGTACGTATGAGAGCGCGAGAATAGGGCAAGTTATTGTATAAAAAAGGAATAATGACACAAGCAGTCCATGAATTTTGGCCAAATATGTAATGTGGTCCCTGGACTTTCAATATGTATTCAATTTAGTCCCTGAACTAGACGAAAATGTTTAATGTAAATTCCTAGCCCCTAAACTTGAATTAATTGATGGATTACATTGAACATGTACCATAATGAATAAATTAAAAGTTCAAGAATCAAATTGCAGATTGGAACCGTATTGAACAAATTAAAAGTTCATGGACTAAATTGTATATTTGGTCAAAGTTCAGGACTATTTCTGTCATTTTCTCTATAAGAAACTGAAAAAATAAACCAAAAACTTTAAAAAGAGAACAAAAAACTGAAAAAAGAACAAGAGAAAAGGAGCATGAAGAGTAAGGATATCCGAGAGGGTTTTTGGCCTCGAGTGGGGCGGGGCCACCGCCCCCTATATATCTTCGCCATGAAATCGTCGGACTTGCTTTTGGATCTTCTCCTTCGGTCCGGAAACATGTCTGCGACAACGCAGGTCTATAGATTACCCCAAATTTTTGTGACTTTTCTTTAAACTCTCTCGTGAAGATAGTATCTCCGTTGCTTAAGTAGGATTTCTTTTTTCCTTTCCTAGGATTTCGACGTACAATTCCACCGTCGTAGCCCCGGAAGAAGAGAGGGTTTCTTCCGGGTTAATATCACAAAAAACCCTAAATTAGAACGCATGTAAAAAATTTACTCCAAATTAATTTTTTTTATTATAAAAAATTCCAAACTTATACATCCGTAATAAATTTACTCTCCATTAGTTTCCTTTAAATTTTTGAGTTAGATGACACGGAATAGCTGATGAGTATACCGGTTTGGGCTTACAGATGTAACAATTTGTGATTTTGCGTGGTATTAATCCAATATAACGGGGGGTAAAATTGTTACAAATATATAAGTTTGGAGTTTTTGGTGGTCAAGAAATTAGTTTAAGGTAAATTTATCACAGGTGTACTAGTTTGAGGTTTTTCGTGGTATTAACCATTAACGATCAATAGTTCTTCAAAATAAGCACACAAACAAGGTGTAACGGTATCAACCTCACACTCCGAAACGATAAAATTCATACTCTCGCCATGAGTAGTTTCACATAGAAACCATTCTAAACGACCCAATATCAGATATTGCAAATCCCAAATTTCCCAATTTTTTGTCTCTTCTCTGTGCGTGCTCTTTTACCATGAATTCAAACTAAAAAAAAGGACCCTATACGAAATGTCACCGTACATAACCTAAGCATGTTCTTAAAAGGTTTCATTTCGATCCTCGTCCAAGCCTCGGGATCGTCGGGATATAAAACTTTCGGAGGATATTCCCTCTCTCTAGGAAAGATAAAAATAAAGAGAGAATCGGGGATGCGATGTACGCGAGCATCGGCACGCTAAAATAAATAATGCGTCCGTGGAGCCCGCCTTATAAGATTCGTAAGAACGGAAACTCCCTTCCTTTAGCGAGGTTAATTAACTCTTACCGAGACACCGAGAATTCAATTTTTTTTTCCTGGTCTCTCTCTGTGTACTACTCTTACCATGAATTCGAACTGGAAAAGGACCCTAATACAAGACGTCACCAGAATGGCCGAGTGGGGAGGAGGTGGGCTTCTCTGCCTCACTCTCTCTCTCTCTCTCTCTCCCAGGTTCAAATTGATTTGGAAAAGAATCAGAGGAAGAAGAGGGGGGGAGGAGGTGCGTGCCAGTTGCGGGGGGGAACGGACACGATGCATGGCAGTGGCGAAGGCGAGACTTAAGAAGTCCCAGAGGGGGGTGGGGCTTCATGATTAGGATGCGCACGTGGGGCGTGGCTAAAGCTGCATTTGACCAATCAAACCCTTTGTCGAATCTTTACCACCGCCACCACCACCCACACACACCCACCCCCAGTCGAGTTGGCAATTCCTCACTTGGCCCCCACCCCCCCCCCCCTACCGAATTCACAACTCCACTCCCTCCCTCCCAAGCATCTGAGAAACCCCAGAAAAATCACCAAAAATAATTGAAAGTTGCTACTACTAAGTTCCGAATTGACTTCACACCGCCCGTTGATTTTGAAAGACCGTCGTGTCAGAATATTTAATTATTAAGTGACGCTTCATTTATCACGCGTGACATCAAAATAAGAGGTATCAAGTTCAAATTTTCCATACCCATATATTTTCACGCTTCCTCATGCTAAGCTAGGGCCACGGAGCCCTCGTTGGCTGACCGGGTGTTAGAATATTAATATATCAGGCCACGTCTCCATTTATTGATGTTGGTGCATGGTATATCCATCACCCTCGACAGATTAATGTAATTGATTATGCACGGACTGTGTAACCTTTTTAAATAATTTTCCACGTATTAGCAACGATAGACGTGAAGCGATTGAGAAAAGGTTACATATCTTGTGTACTCAATTAATTATCCTTATTGCAATACTTGATTCTAATACATCGCCTCACCTAATATATCCATAGTATGATATTATATGACACAATACATTATATTAGGGTGGTATTTGTTTTACGAAAAACTTAAGATTTAAAAAATATTTTTCAAAAAATGATTATTTTTTATTGCTAAAAAAAATTAGTTAATGTCAACATCAATTTATACCTAACTATTTCCGTAGACGATGAAAATATATTTTTCATCCGTCCGTTTTTTGGTTGAACATTCTTTCGTTTTGTGAGCTATGTAACCAATTAAATCTTGAATTTTTCGTCGAACAAACGTATCTCTATAATAATTTTATTTTATCTTTTATTTTTCCCCAGGTGGCTCGACAATGTGTTACAATCTTGGGCCCCACGAGGAAGAAAGCAAGCCCACTTTTGCTCCCCCCTTTTTACTCAAATTCGGGGACCAAAAGCAAAACAGTAGGAATACCGACTACACTGTTGGATTCTGACATATCTCTGAGCACCGCACACGCGTTGCACGTGCGAAACCACTTAGATTCCAACGTGTTCGTGACCCCATCTTTTTGTTTGACATGAAAGGACCACCCCCCCCCCCCCCTCCTCCTCCCTCCTCTTGCTTATGCCAAAAGTAAGATCCCATCATAAAAAAAATAATAATAATAAAATATATATGAATAAATAATTACACAATAATTTCAGTGGGAAATGATTATCTTGTTCAGCAAATGAAGATTACATTCTTTGGAAAGACATCAACGGTCTTAAAATGCACTTAATAATTATATTTCTATATAGATTTATTTTGAGGTATGATATGTAAATACGATATGTACTCGAAAGAACGTAACCTCACGTAATTTTGCAGAACACTCTAGATATTTCAACTACTATGTAAGCATTAGAACGAATTAGGCATTCTTCTACATATTACATTGACAGTTCTTCGTTCCTTCTACAAAACCATAGTTTTGTTTCATGAAGAACTACGTAATTGCGAGTACAATTGCTGGTGCTGATGCTTATTACTAGGATTACATTTGCTTGGTTCATGAAGAAGTTTAAGTGAAATTTAAGCACATCAACAAACAACGACTTGTTCGAGTGAGAACGGACCTATAAATCGAGACAAACTAGCTTGTACACAACGTATAAGTCTTTGGGGATAAGCAATGTTGTGATAAGAATCATGATTCCACGAACTAGAGCTAATCAGAATAACGCAGCTCGTTATGGAAGCATATGCTACGCCTTTAAATACATCTTTATACGATTTCAACAGAATGTCTCGAGAGTCTGCATAAGTTCTTGGAGAAAACAAGCAGGATGCATTTGAAAAGCAAACAATCGAACATAAGATGTTGCATTTCCATTTACAGTTTAAGACGGGCTTCTGGGATCGTCCCAATCAAAAAGACCCCCGTGTTCATTAATTTCAATAGGGACGTAAAGGTGTCATTCTTCAGTACAGCATTCATGTGATCAGCATATATTGCTTTCAGCTTCAAAGATCTGATATATCATAGCTTGACTTGACAATACAAAGTAAAAAGCAAAACAAAGAGCCTACCAGAAACGAGAAAATGACACGAGCTATTAAAGGGTCACTCGCTCTTTGTAATGACTGCTTACCCGGTGCTTGGTACTTACCTAAATGGAAAGCGCTCGCTTTGGTATGAATCTCCATGGTTTCAGATTGGGTAATATCATTTGCCGAATGAATAAACTTGATGAAATGAGATTAGCTACCGGATTAAGTTACAAGCTTAGCAACAGCAGTGTGACAAAATGTAATGTGGTAGACATGAAAGAACTGAGACGCAGATCGTATGATTAAAGGGCTGTTCCTCTTCTGAGTTACTGTGAAACCTACAAATGTTAAGCTCTTCGTACAAAGAATTTCCCATCAGATAACAAAACCTAATAAAAAGCAACAGCAGTCTAACATTCCTCGTCTCGCTATTTACAGTTGCAAGAACGAGATCGGAGCTTAGCTAAGATGGGCTAATTTGGCTTCGACATAGAAACCTCGAATGAGAGAGAGAGAGAGAGAGAGAGAGAGAGAGAGAGAGAGAGAGAGAGAGAGAGGGGTTTGAGTTTAGTCGTGCCAACAGAGGAGCATGACGACGCATCGTCGGATGATGTAGACCCTGCTCTTTTGTTCTTTCAAGTACCCTCCGAGTCTCTGGCAAGATGCTTTCGATCTCTTGGAGTCTCCCACTGCTGCTGATGGTGATGAAGTAGTACTGTTCATCATCGTCTTCATGTTTTGTTTTGTGCGAGCGCGTAGAGACCCACTTCTGAACTTTGCTGGTATTGCCGAGAGAGAGAGAGAGAGAGAGAGAGAGAGAGAGAGAGAGAGAGAGAGAGTTTTTTTATCAGAAGCACAAGCACTAACACACACCTCTTGAAGTTGTTGCTGCTGCAAATTATTTTCCCTTGCTTGGACTGCGAAGGCGGTATTGGGGGGGAGGGACTTCTTATAATGGAAGCTAGTGAGGTGTTCGTGGTCCCTTGATTCTTAAAGCAAAAAGAAAGGAATAGAATATCATAGAGAGATGATTTTTTTTCTTTTATGGAAAATGTGTTTGTTTTCTATTAAAGATCAAATGAGATTCTTAATTTAAGTCGTCGAATTCGTAACACCGAGCAAGACCTTGGCCAACGTTTATGTGGGATGGGCAACCGGTCATTCAAATGAAGTGGAGGTAAATGAGCAATGCGTCTTATGCAATAAATGATGTAAAAAAAACAATTTATAAATAAATGTGATAAACTGATGGTAATTTTAGTGAATAATTATTCAACTCTTAATTCGAGAGTTTATCGTATTATAGCATCTTTTTCTTATAACAAAAGAAAGCAGCTCTACAGAGGTACTTGCTTATGTGACATATGTGTCTTTTAGCTAACGAAATTTACATGCATTTGGAATGTTAGTGCATGCATCCGACTCTTTTCCTATCACAATCTAGTGAAACGAAAGTCGCAAGCATGTGAAGTGGGTCTCATATATGCAAATTCACTTCGGCCAAAAAAAGAAACAAGACAGGTGTTGTGCTATGATTGGGTAACATTACCATCTACCTCCGTTACTGCTTCTTCCCCCTTCTTCTTATGGCTATTTCTTTACCTATTTGCTAATTGATCTATCAAAAACCCACATTGGAATTGACTACCTGGCGAAGACATTCTCATGCTTTCGGTCCGAGATTGATAATCGTGAAGTTCGATTCTTGCTCTAGAGAACTCGAATTTAAGTAGGGGGCTATAGTGACGAGTTGCTGTCTTAGTTCCCTTTTCTAGATAGCCGGCTAATTACAGTTGTGCCCATGAGTTATAAAAAAGAACAATCTTCCAAAGAATAAAAACATGGACACACATACGTATATGATTTGCGTGCATTATTAAGTATATGACTTGTCGACCTGATAGTCTAATGATCCCCGATCATTCGGTACATTTATTTGTTATTGCTGATGAACCGAGTCAATGGCCAATGATATTTGTGTCACTTCTGTTACTTTGCTCGTATAATGGGTCATGATACATCAATTATGCAAACATCTGCAACATCTCAGCGACGACATAGTCTCTTCCAAAATTTGCAGAAGAAGAACAAGCTGGAATTCATGGAGTTCAAACTTTGGACCACACAGTACAAACCTAGCTACCGGCAGAAACCCCTGATCATATGCATCCAGCGATTTCACAGGTGTCTCCACTTCGACCACAAAACATGGTGTGTCTTCGTTAAAAAGGACTGGTCAAAGTTGTGTCATGTGATTCCCACATACGTACGAGAGTAAAATCCGAACTCGAATTTCTGTCAGACCAATCGAAATATACATTTCTTAGCTGTTTCTTGGTTGCGCCCGCAGTGCCAAAAGACCCTTCTTCTGATTAAAGCCACGGATTGCTTCGTCCTCTACCGCTAGTTATCGAACTACGAAGCTCTTAATGCAGTGATAACGAGGGGTACTTAGGTACTAAACAAGATTAGTTTAATCATATCGCTCGAAGCTCGAAGGACTGATTAAATTACTGGGTTCGTCTGCATGGCGACTTGGAACCTAAAAAAGCTCAAATATTGTTTAACCAAGAGTGTTTAGCATAGAGAAGTCATAATCCCACATGTCTAATCTCGTGCTCCGCAAGACTTAAATTCTTTTCAACGGCTGCTTCCTTTCGTATGTGTCGTCCGAAGAGAGTATCTTCTTTGTGTGCGATGATTCGTTCGTGTTGTTTTTTCTTTTCTTTCTCCAGCATTACAATGCGACAGTAATCTCGGGCTTTTCAAAGGATCCTTTGTTACCGAAGCTACGATCATTAATTGCCCTCAGCTGGCTGCAAATGCATATAAAATTTCTTTATCGCGTGTCTTATTTTCGCAAGATAGGAAAAATACTACAAAAAATCTCAAATTATGCCACTTATAATAAATTTACCACGAATTTTTTTTTTGTGACACGAAAAACCTCAAACTATGCCATTTGTGACACATTTACCCCACAATACATTTGTCCAAGGACATTTTCGTCTTTTTCTTTTTCCTTTTTCTTTCCTTTTTTTTTCTTCTCTCTTCCCTCCGCTAGCGAGGGTCGCCTCGCCGGGCATCGAGCGAGGGTTGCCCTCGCCTGGGCGGGCGAGGGCCGCCCTTGCCAGCTTCCCTCCGCCGTGGTCAACGGAGGGAAGAGAGAAGAAAAAAAAAGGAAAAAAAATAGTTAAAAGAAAAAAGATGAAAATGCCCTTGGACAAGTGTATTGTGGGGTAAATGTGTCACAAGTGGCATAGTTTGGGGTTTTTCGTGTTACAAAAAAAAGTTCAGGGTAAATTTTTCACAAGTGACATAGTTTAGGGTTTTGGTGGTGTTTTCTCAAAAGATATGTGAATGTGGCTACGAAAAAGTGATATATATGCTAAGAGGAACATTATTTCGACTATGATTTTGGACATTGCATGTAAATCGAAAGCTCGCGTATACTATATAGGGTTAATACTACGAAAAATTCAAAACTAGTACATCTGTGACAAATTTATCCCAAACTAATTTTTTTGACCATAAAAAATCTCAAACTGGTACACCTATGATAAATTTACCATAAACTAATTTTTTGACAACTAAAAACCCTAAACTGGTGCATCTATGACAAATTTACTCTCCATTAAATTGGATTAATACCACGAATAATTACAAATCGGTACAACTATGTAAACCCTAAACTGATACACCCATCAACTGTCACATGTCATACAACTCAGAAATTTGACAGTAAAATTTAACGGAAACTAACGAAGGGTAAAATTATCACATGTATACCGATTTGAGGTTTTTTGTGGTAAAAAAACTAGTTTAAGGTAAATTTGTCACAGATATATTAATTTGAGATTTTTCGTGATATTAACCCAAAATACGACGTAAAGCAATTCAGGATACAAAAAGGTTAAAATTGTAAAAACCCAATTACAAACATGAGTACTAACCTAATCCTTCCTAATCCTAGTAGGCACGAACGAATTTCACTTTCTTTTATTTTTTATATATATTTTTGTTGTACGACAGAAGGAGATACACGAAGTTTCTGGGATGTCTTCTCTGGACAGGCGTGCGTGCATTAAGTCTCCTTTCTCCCGAGTCCCAACACCCCAATCAGATAATTCACCGAAACTACAATATTAAATTCCACATTATTCAACTTGACTGAGATTCCATAAATAATTGAGGCCTTCCCACCGATCTACAAGTCAAAGTCTAAGTCAAGTTTTCGCTTGCCATCATTACTGCCTCGCCAAGCTATAGGACAGAATGGGAAGGGGCCTAGAGGAGATAAGAGTCCTCCCAGTCCACCTTCACTTTCTTTTCTTTTTTAAATAACTTAAATAATTTTTAAATTTTAATTCAATGTGTAATATCGTTTCTTAACTTTTAATTTGTTCGATATGATCCATGAATTTCAATCAAATATGCAATGTCGTCCCTTAACTTTTAATTTGTTCAATGAACTTTTGGTATATGTTTAATCTAATCCCTGAACTATATAAAAATGTTTAATGTTGTCCTTTCATTAATTCAAGTTGAAGGACAATATTGAAAATCTTTATATAGTTTATAGACTAGTTTGAATAAATACCATAAATTTAGGGACTGCATTAAATAAATTAAAATTTCAGGGATGTCATTGCATATTGATACAAAGTTCAAGAACTATTTGGATAATTATCCCTTATTTCTTCTTAGCGTGTAATACTAACCTGTAATTTATCTTTCTGGAGGTCCAAAAATCTGGTTCTGTGTGCTCTGCTGGCCTCATCAAGTTAGAAGAAGATGAAAATAATCAAATCAAGAAGCCCCGGACATCCATACCATACACGACCCGGTGAGTCTCGGGTCCTTTTAACCTTAGGTGCGCCACCCATCACTCGATGTAAGTAGGATTTCATATAGAGTCAGCACAGAGAAGGAAACGACTATATAAGTGATTTGGCACGCCTTGAAGATGAGGATACTTTCTTTGGTTGGAGTACTATTGTATCTTTTTTGCCCTAAATCAGTGACCACGACAACACAAGAGCCAACTAACAGACGGCCCCTATCTCTCGGTTGAACAATCATATGATGGTGCTCAATGTGGATCCCCTTAAAATCTTCCCATGGAGAGACAATGACAAACTCTTATTACCTGTAATGCAAATTCAACCGGGCCACGGATAATTTAATTATACATATTCTAGGTCCCATTTGACGCATGGGCTTGACTCACAATCAAAGTGACATGATTTCTTTTTCTTTTTTGATGATCAAAGTGGCATAATTTTTAGGTTATCGAAAGGGGAAAAGGTTCTAAAAAAAGGAAAGAGAAAAAGAATCGAATTGGACAGAACACAAAATGGAGATAGCAAAAGTTGGAGATGGGCCTACCTTGTCTAAGATTGCATTGAATTCCATGCGAAAAATGACTCAGATCAATCATGTTAGGTAGGGTCCCCCAACCAAAATTTAAAAACAATAAAAAAATCAAAACCCATTCAAAAAATAACCAAGAAAAAGGCCCAAATAAGAGAGAGAGAAAGAGAGAGAGAGATAAAAGATCTTCTGATAAAGCAGACAAAGCCCATTAATCTCAGTCTAAAAAAATGTTGACTCTTATGACGAAAGAGGGAACAGTGTTGTTGCTTGTCTCCGAGTGTTATGCTCCTCCTCCTGTGCATGGAAAATGAATTTTGGGATTAAAGAGAGGACAAGGTTGTACCGAACAAGGAAGGCATGTCAGCACGTGACGAGCTCGTGAGGGACATGGTTGCTGCCCCTGCTGTGGTGAGCATCCCAGATTTTTGTTCTGGTGCTCTTCATTGGCGACTCCTTGTCGACATGATGCCTCATCGAACTCCGTTTGCTCACCAACACAGCATGGCATAGAAAAATCTGGTCACTGGTCAGATATTTTTGTTTAACCTTGTTTTGTGATTCTCAGAAAGATTTTTGTGGGCACT